CTGTGCTTTACTAAGCTTGTTCTAAGTAGGTGCTTTAGACCACTGAGCCATCTCACCAGCCCCAAGACTATGATATCTTAATAATGTGCCCTCATATACCTTTAGTTTCTTGCTATTCTAGATCATCAATGTGAATCCCATTTTCACCTAGGCTACTGAATCAGAGGATCCTTTATGATTTATTTTGAGCACAGTTGGGTATAATTAATAAGACTGTTCTACATGGCTGCAAACACAGTCTGCATATTATCAGAGTAATAATAAAAGTCTTCCATTCAACCTCTTATCATCTGCTTTAGCACTATACCAATACATTACAACCACTATCATCAATTTCCATCAGTGAATCTGTGGACAATTCTGAAATTAATCCATTTGCTGCGAAGTAAAATGTTTGGGGATGTCCTGCTTTAAAAAGCAGCAGATCTTAAAATCTTGAAGGGAACAGTCCTAGTCTGCTCCTCTGCTTCTTAGTGACCATAACAATAGGACTTGACATGATTGGCCTAGAGAAATATTGCTTAGTGTTTTCCCCTAACTCACACTAGACCATAGTCTGGACCTCAAAACCTGTGACAAGCTATAGAACAGCAATATGTAGTTAGTAAGGAATCAAGCAACAACAAAGAATCAAGCAAAGAGGACATGGCATTCCATTTTTAAATACATACCATAGTATAATTGTGAGCCACTTTATGCAAATCTGTACAACCTTGGGCATCAGCAAAGGAACGGATTCCAAGACAGTTGGATGGATGAAGCTGTTTCATTAAAAACTTACAGCACGCCTCCACAACCTGTGAAAGCTGAAGGAGGCAGGCGGTAGATAACAGGCACTCAATATTATCTTCTTTTAATTCAAGGCGGCCTTAATGATAAAAAGAAATTCCATTAACTTACACAACTACATGAACCTTATTTCATAAAATAATTGATGCTAGCAGTACTATTTCTAATGAGAGCTCATTTCATGTACTATAGACCAAGAAAGTTTAAGACATTCCAAAAAAGAAAAAAAAATTAAGTATGGGGAAAAAAAATCATTTTTTTTTGATACTAAATAAAAACTGGTACTAAAATAAAAACATCTTCAGAATTTTTAAATGATGTATTAGAAACATATCTATTATATATATATATATATAAGAAAACATATCTACTATATATAATACATAGCTCCATTTTTAAAAGCAAAATTCTGACGAGATAACAATTCATCTAATTGCTATATTAATATTTTAAAATACCATTCAAAGCCTTCATCATAGTACTTTAAATGTTTTAGTATGGAGTTTTTAATCTATTTAAGGTATTATGGGGGGAAGTGTGATAAAAATACAGATTGTTAGCCTTGGCATGCATTATTAAAAGCGAAAGTCTGAAATCTAGCAACATAACATAAACCTAAGAGGTTTTAATTTACATGTTCAGACTTACACTACCTGTGTATGCATACTGAATCAAGGACCATAAAGAGTTTGGCTCTACACCTTCCATTTTTATTTCTTCCTGTCTTGCTTCTCTGACATCATTAGTAAACATGGCAGCAAAATAATCTGAGACAGAGGAGAGCACCAATCTGAGAATACAAGAGAGGGAAAAAAATCAATGACCACATTCAAGTTGATGTTCATTAATAAATGCTTTATCATCTTCTTTTTAAAAATTCATTACCCATAGAAAGTACATGGTACTGAGAAATGCATTTTAAATTTGACAAATTGTTTTATGCTCTACTTCCTCCCTCTGAATAATAAATTACCATTACTGAAAATTTTCTGCTGAGGTAAATGATTTACCTGCTCAATACTCAAATACTGTTTTATAACATTCAGCAAACAAGGTACAAGCCCACAGTATTAAACCTCTACATAAAAAAGGAAAAAATGTAAAGGTTACTTTCTGTTTATTATTTTTGAAAATAACCAAATCTACTCTTTTAAAAATTTAATGGTAGAAATAATGAATATGAGATATATTTATCAACAGTTTATTAAGTTATTTTTAAGTTTTGATATTTTTCATAGTATGTTTTATTATAGAATTATAATATTTCTGTTATACTATATAGCTATAATTTTTTTTAT